TTTTTTTTTTTTTTTTTTTTTTGGTATCGGGGATCAAACTCAGGATCTTGTGTTTGCAAGGCAGGCAGCAGCACCACTGAGCTAAATCCCCGGCCCTACTTTTGGCTTTTTAAAGCAGGATCTTCCTATGTAATTCAGACTGGCCTCACACTTAGTATGTATCCCAGCCTCCTGAGTACTGAGATTACAAGTATGTGTGCACCATTACACTCAGTTGTTTTTGGTTTTTGAAGAGTAGGTCTAGCTACATAGTTCAGGCTGGCCTTTGAATTCAATGCCATTCTCTTGTCTCAGACTCCTGAGTGCTGGATTATAGGTATATGACTAGCCATACACCTATATTAATATATGCTATTATATGAATAAAACTTTATTCATTTTGGTTTTTTTCGAGACAGAGTCACACTCTGCAGTTCAGGCTGACTTTGAACTCACTATGTAACCAGGCTGGCCTCAAACTCCTGGTAATCCTACTGCTTCAACCTCTTGACAACTGAGATCACAGGAATGTGCCAACACATCTGGTTTATATGAACAAAACCTTAAAGTTTTATGCTAAGTGGAACAGACCAAATCATGAAGGCTTTGGGCTTCTGATTCTTTTTTTTCTTTTTGGAGTGCTAGAGACTGAACCCAGGCTGTCACAAATTCTAGGAAAGTATTCTACCATAGAGCTGTATCACCAGTCTATACGATTTCATTTACATGACATGACCAGAATAGGCAAAACTATAACTAGAAATTAATGAAAAAAAGAAATTAATGTAGTGGTGGCCAAGGGCTGGGTGAGGGAGGAATGGGGAGTGTTTGATAACTACCCCCTTGCCAAATGAGGTTTTCTGGGGTACAGGTAGTAAAATCAAGTTAGTGATGATAGTTATACAGCCTTGTACATTAAACACTGAATTGTACACTTTTAGATTCTTTTTTTTTTGTACCTGGGATTGAACTCGGGTCCTTGTGCTTGTGAGGCTGGCAATGGAACCACTGAGCTAAGTCCCTGGTTTGAATTGTTTACTTTCAAAGAGAATTTTAGGGTATGTGAGTTATGTCTCAATAGACATTAAAAAAGCCGGGTATGGTGGTACACACCTGTAATCCCAGCACTCTGAAGGCAGAGGCAGGAGGATCACCATGAATTCAAAGCCAGTCTAGCTACATAGTTCACGAGTTCAAAGCCAGCCTGAACTACAGTAGTGAGACCCTGTCTCAAAAAGAAAAAAACATTAAACAAAACAAAACAAAACAAAAACCAAGGGAAGATGAGGGATAATCCTTCTTGGCTCATTTTAGCCCTAGGCTGAGTATCAGCAATTTTAAAGTGTTAAAACAAAGATAACTGAAGGTAAGTAGTTTAAAAAGGGGGAACAGCCAGGCAGGGTGGTACACACCTATAACCCCAACACTTAGAAGCCTGAGATAGAAGAGTCACTATGAGTTCAAGGCCAACCTGGAATACACAGTGAAACCCTGTCTCAAAAAACATAAATAAATAAATAAATAAATAAATAAATAAATAAATAAATAAATAATTTTAAAAGAGGGTATAAGTCTGTATCTTTTTCAATTTCCATCCAGGGATTTAGCTCAGTGGTTCCACCACCTGCTTCGCAAGCACAAGGTTCTGAATTCAATCCCTGGTACCAAAAAAAAAAGAAGACATACAATTTCCAAATCTCAAAATTCCACTGACACACACCTTACAGGTCACTTTTAGAAGTGTATAGAAATTGGGCCAGGGATTTAGCGCAATGGTTCTGCCGCCTGCTTCACAAGCACAAGGTCCTGAATTTGATCCCCTGTACCAGGAAAAAAAAAAAAGAAAAAAACTGCATAGTACAATTTTTGCTTACCACTGCGAGGACGGCTTTTCCTGAGCCTATAACAGTCAAGGCAGACCCCAAATCCACATTTGCGACAAACCCAGTGGATGTTGAAGAGAGTTGTTTCACATACATCACACATTTCCCGCACGCCACGTACAGCTCTCTTCCATGCCACTTTCTCTGGTAAAAAGAGGAAGAGGAGAACTGTTGGCATTGACTGTCTTGATCAAAAGGTCACAAATCTACTGATCCCCATTCAAATAATCTTGTCCAGCAGATTCATGAAATTTGTGTTTCTATAATTATAAGAGAAACAAAACACAAGGCATTTCTAGTATTTCAAGGGCTTGGGGTAATACAAGGACACAATAACTTAGTGTTAATAAGGAATTAATGCTGTATGTTGTCCTTTAAGATACTGGAAAGTTGGGCCTGATGGTGCACACCTGTGATACCAGCTCACTGGAGACTGAGGCAGGAGGACCCTAAGTTCGAGGACAACCTGGGCAACCTGGGCCTTGTCTCAAAATAATAAAAATGGATAGGGATGGTGTTCAGCGTGAGGCCCTGGGTTCATTCCTTCCACAATACTGCTACACACACAGACACACACTTACACACACACAAAGATGCTATAAATTTTTCAACTAGGGATAGCGTAAAATAAGAGGATATTTTTTCTTAAAATTTAGGGCATAATTTCACAGTATAATTTTCTTTGGTCTACAAATAGCATACAGTATCTCATAGACTTGGTAGACATGACAAAGTATAATGGTCTGAAAATAAATAATCATGGTTAAAAAAAAGAAAAAAAAAGTGTAATGGTCTGAAAATGTGGGTTCTAGATATGAAACAAAGCATCCAGTAGGATCTCATCTATTCACAAACCATGGAACACTGCTTAGTAGCACAAATTAGTTCAAAGCAAATTAAGAATGCTTGGGGTGAACTAAATTCAAATGGGGATGCAAATGTATCGGATGGCAGCCATGTGACAAAATGAAAGAGAGGCAGGAAGGAATTTTTAGACTTATAATTGTCAAAGAGTGTTGGATGTAGTTAAGGCCTTAGCTATAGGTTGCTACAAATAAGAATCTTATTATAAGTGTATTTCATCCACTGAAAATGCCATCCTCCATTTCTTTCTTCATGTGAAACACTCAAAGTTTCCAACTAGCAGTGTTTGGAAGACAAGCAAGAGAGTGCCTTACGGTGCGGCTCCACCATCATCATGGCCTCCTTTTCAGACATTACAAGCTGACAGAACTGATCCCCAACATTGGCCAGGATGTATTTTGAGGTCTCTAGGTCTATCCCTTCTGCTAGGGAGGAAGAGGGAATCCACAGGTTCATGGCATCAGGGTCACTTTGTTGAGGGCTTAGAAACCCCTCCACACGAAGTACCCCCTTTCGAGTGAAGATCAACCTAAGACAGGGAAAAAGACAGTTAAACCCTTGATATCTGAGGGAGACTGGTTCCAGGCCATACTCCCACCTCCCCTAGTTGCCCAAACCTGTAATTGCTCAAGTCTCTCATATAGTGCAGGAACTCATATAACCTATGCACATCCTTCCATATACTTTAAGTCATCTATAGAGTACATATAATATGTAATGTAATATAAACGCTATGCAAAGAGTTGTAATACTGTATTATATAATGATAAGAAAACAGGCTCAGTACACTTGTTGTAAACCAAAATACATTTTCAATCCATAGTTACTTACATCTATATACATGGAACCAGCAGATATGTATTACCTTTCCCATGAGAAACTTGTGGCCTATTCTACTGAGCAGTAGGAGCCAGAAAAGAATGCTCACAAGCTCCTACCACCCCAATACAACATCTTCCTGCAAGTGGGCCTATGTACTCCATTGATCTCTGGCTACTTTGAATGATGTCCCAGTGAAGACCAGCATCTCTATCTCCATCCTACCTCACTCCCCAAACCAAATATATTCCTCCTCTAATTCTATCCTCTCTTTTCTACATCATCTAGTTCTCTCTACCAAACCAGCGTTTTATTTTATTTTGGTACCAGGGATTGAACTCGGGACCTTACACTTGCAAGGCAGGCAGCAGAACCACTGAGCTAAATCCCCAGCTCCAAAAACAGCATTTAAAAAAGCTCTACTGGGCTGGGGATTTAGCTTAGTGGTTCCGGTCCTGAGTTTGATCCCTGGTACAAAAAAAAAAAAAAAAAAAAAAAAAAAAAAAGCTGTACGGCTGGGCCTGGTGGCGCACACCTGTAATCCCAGTACTCATGAGGCTGAAGCTGGAGGAGGATCACTGTGAGTTCGAGACCAGCCTGGGCTACATAGTGAGTTCCAGGTCAGTCTCAACTACACAGTGAGACCCTGTCTCAAAAAACCAAAAAATTAAAAATAATAAAAAAGCTCTATAAAATCAACACTTAAATATGCTACGATTTGTATCACAAACATCCACATGATCCAACATCCTCTTCCATTTATCTGCTTGCTAGAGCAAGTTTCCTTCAAAGACTTGTCTACACTCATCACCAGTTCTCCTTTACATTTGTTCTTCATCCTCTACAGATATTTCACCTGCCAATACTGCTTTTGTTTTTTTTTTTTGGTACTGGAGATTGAACTCAGGACCTTGTGCTTTCGAGGCAAGCAGTGGAACCACTAAGCTAAATTCCCAGCCCAAAGATTAATCCCCAGCCCTTCAATACTACTTTTAACCAGGTCATTCAGTCTTGCTAAGTCAAATGGTCACTTCCAGTTCTTATCTCATACATCCTGTTAGCATCTGGTACAATTCATTATTCCTTCCTGGAAACATTTTCCTTAGTTGTCTCCTCAGACAGCTAGCTCACTCTCTAGTTTGCCTGCCACCTCAATGGCTGTTTTTCCCCAGTTCTCTTTACTGGTTCCTTCTCATATTTTCTAGCTCCAAACATTGGAGAGCGCCAGGCCTTATTTCTTGGAAGCCTTCTCTTCTTTTTGCACACTAACTCCTGAGACAATCTCAAATGACTACTGGCTTTAAATACTTGGTATAACTGGTACCTCCAGGTTACACTTCCTCCTCTAACTCTACAGGTGGAGAACCAGCTGCCTTCTCAACATCTCCAACTGGAAATCTAAGAGGGAGCTCAAGTTTAACATGCCCAAACTTAAACTTATTTTTCTTCTCCAAATCTTATTTTCCCTAAGAAATCTCCTCATCAGTAAATGGCCAACCCATTCTTCCAATTTTCAGACCAAACAATGCAGAATTTTCCTTAACTTTTTTCTGTCATTTTCTATATCATTTATATATCCATATCACCTATATAACCATAACTATATGCACTCTGCCTTCAAAAATACATTTAGAATCCAGCCCCTTTTTACTATCTCTGTTGCCACCTCTCTGGGTACAGCCACCATCATTTCTCACTTGGGTAATTTCAACTGTCTCCTATCTTCTCTGCGTCTCTGCCCTCGCTTCCATAACTTATTCTAAAAACAGCTAAGTGGCCTTTTAAGACACTAATTAGAGCCAGGCATGCTGATGCACACCTGTAATCCCAGCATTCAGGAAGCTGAGGCAGGAGAATTACCAGGAGTTCAAGTCCAGCCTGAGGTATACAGTGAAACCCTATCTTAAAAAAAAAAAAAAATTAGGAAATTAGGGGCCAGGGATTTAGCTCAGTGGTGCCACGCCTGCCTTGTAAGCACAAGGTTCTTAGTACAAACTCTGGTACAAAATAAAGAAATAAAGTTTGTGACACTCAAAGAGCCCATGAGTTCCAATGACTGATTCAGAGTAAAAGCCTAGAAAAACCCTTTAAACTAGATCCATGATTCTTTGCTCTTGCTTAAATTTGATGTTTTGTTTAGTGCTGTATCCTCAATGTTGAGAATAACTGCTAGCACAAAGTAAATGCTCGGTAAGTATTTGCCAAATAAGGGAATCCACACAAAATCAATAGCTCATTTGGATTTATTTTAAAAGTTAAATGTTCTTAAAAAATAATTTAAAAGATACTCCTAAGTTTCTCAAGTAGAAGAAAAGTGACTAGACAGCAGTTATTTGGTAAAAGCAGGGAACATTCAGGATTTTCTATTTCAAAGACATTTATCCAAGCTCTTCTGGAAGCTGTGGCAAAAGCATCATTTGAGCCCACATGATTGGGGGCAGCCTGGGCAGTACAGCAAGAACCCATCTCAAGAAAGAACGAAAATAAGCCAGCCAGGTATGGTGTTGTCTAGAATCCTGAACTGTGGGATCATAAATTTGAGCCTAATCTGGGCAACTCTGAGACCCTATGCCAAAAAAAAAAAAAAAAAAAAAA